ATTCCCTTTTATCTTTTGACCCTCCCTGGAGCTGAGAGAGGGAGGGACCAGAAAGAACCACTGCATTGGACTTTTGGGGGTACAGAGGGGAAAATGTGCCCAGGTCTGGCTTGGGTACCAATGACCAAGAGGAAAGAAAACTCAGTGCAGGACAATGCAGGGATTCTGTAACAAGGGCCTGCTCTCCCTCCCAAGTCTTTGGGGCTGTCCCCAACCAGGCAGGGAGTGGGTCCAGCTGGAGGGCAAGGTCTGAGGAAGGAGATTTTACTATCTCGGAGACAAAAGAACTTTTGTGTGCTCTGATCTCAGGGTGGGATGGGGTGGGGAGAGGGAAATGGTTTATTGGAACGAGAATAAAATTGTATGGGAGAAAAAGAGAATCAGACACAGAGATTAAGACAGAAAAATAGACAGAGACAAAGCAGAGAAATGGACAGAAGAGAGAGACCAAGGCAGAGACCCAGAAGATGCAGAAAGGGAAAAAGTGGCCCCAAAGAGAAAGCTCCTTCAAGCCAGCTTTGGTTTTTGTGTCTGGGTTCTGAGAGCTTCCTATGGTGTCAGAAAGCAGGAAGGGGCTGTCAGAGCCTGAACTCCGATCTCATCATGGGAAACAAGCTGTGCAGCTCTGAGTAAATCGCACCCCTTCTCTGGGCAACAATGTATCCATCTGTAAAAAGGGGGCCGGGACCCTGTGATGGCCCTAGTAATGTGTCCTGGGGGTGGAGGTGGGATGTCTACAGTTAACGTCAATGTTTTTTAGAAGCATGGATGTGACATGGGCACCACTCAGGGAGGGAACTACAACTCCCCCAAGGCTTCCCAGAAGCTTGTTACTTACTATTGGGTAAATGAAGGTGGATTTCAGATCAAATATGATACAATACCAGTGGACCCATGCTTTTAGGTGCAAGGACCTATTTATTCCCTGTGAGCTCATGGCATAATAGGTGTACAGCATAGCACAGAGGATAACCAATTAGACCCCATGTAACAGTGATGCAAGGTGCTGGAACCTATTTCCCGTGAATTCAAAAGTCAATCAACGCTTTGTCACATTCAATGGCAAGGTGCCTCCCTGAGCTACTGGAACCTCTTCCCTATGAATTCATGGGATGGTAGTTAAGAATAATAGCCTACTGCTACTGTAAGAATGTTTCTTGTTCATTCACTAAAAGTGTGATTTTTTTTCCCCCAAAGAAGTATTAAACCAAATTTTAATGTATCCTAAAATAAAATAAATAAATAAAAGAATATGATACAATAAATGCCTTTCATTGTATGGAGAAAATCTTTTGGGTTGGAAGCCTGAGTCCCAAAACCAAAATGCCAGCTCTGCGCCTTGCAGCCCTGGCTCTCTAAGAACTGAGTTAAAGATGCAGGTCTCTTTCCCAGAGGCCGGAGAAAAGAAAGATGTCACTTAGGAAAGAAGGAAGGCAAGGAGGCTGTTTTTATCTGATACCTGCTGAATACCTAGGAAAGGGGATCTAGGAGAGAACGTTCAGTGGGGTGATCCCAACTCATATCCTTTTTTAAGAAGTCATTTCTTCCCCCCCACCCCCCCCCCCCCAGTGTCTGCAGAGGGATCTTTGAAGGTGGGCCCAGCCAGAGGCACACCAGAACCTGGGAAAATTCAGAACCCCAGGAGCCTGTTGGATTTCAGCCCCAAGAAACACACATTGCTATTGCAGCTTGGTAGCTGGGGAGACAGGCAGAACACGGCCTGCCCATCTTGTATGAGGCCTCGCTTATCCAGTTGCCCTGGAAGAGAAAAGGTCTCAGGGAGGCAGGGTTAGGGGACAGAGAAGCAACCTTCTCACCTTAGCTAAGCAACCTTCACATAGAGGTCCAAATCTCAGAGCTGCTGTTGACTAGCCGAGTACCCTGGGGCAAGACACATCTGGCAGCCGTGTTTTTCTCTGTAAATCCACAAGAAGATCCCCTTGACCCTTAACCTTTCAGAAATGCAGTAAAGATCGAATGGAGGCATGTGTGAATGTGCCCAACCCCGTGCCTGGCATTCAAATGAGTGAGTCCCCTGTAAGGGCTGACGGTCTTACTCCACCCATTCCCCCCAGAGTCGGCAGATCGGAGTCTGATTCTGGAATCTGTCACCTCCTAGCTGGTGACAGGAGAAGATACCTCATTTCTTGAGACTTGATTTTTCTCCTCTGAAATGACGGCTATGAAAATTATGGGAAATGAGCGATAAGAAGACATGTGGTGACTTGGTGAGTGCTCTTCAAATGAGAGTTGGAGTAATGAGCTCTGTCCTGGGAGACGTGCCCACTGAGTCTCAGCACGGCCACTGTGGGCACTTCTTCAACAGCTTTGTCCCAGATCCATCCTACCTGCTCCTATATTAATCCTCTCAAAAGACCACCACCTTTTAGGAGAGGTGGGAGAGACAGAGGTATTGCCTAATAGAGTATCTCTTTGGGCTGATGTAAAGATTTGGAAATAGTGGGGCTGGACGCATGACATTGTGATTATAATCAATACCAAGTACGCTTAGAATGGTTAAGATGGCATAATTTGTGTTATAGGGCGGTGCCTGTGGCTCAGTGGGCAGGGCATCAGCCATATACGGAGGGTGGCAAGTTCGAACCCGGCCCTGGCCAAACTGCAACAAAAAAATAGCTGGGTGTTGTGGCAGGTGCCTATAGTCCCAGCTACTCAGGAGGCTGAGGCAAGAGAATTGCTTAAGCCCAGGAGTTGGAGGTTGCTATGAGCTGTGATGCCACAGCACTCTACTGAGGGCAACAAAGTGAAACTGTCTCTAAAAAAAATTTTTTTAAAATAATAATAATTTGTGTTATAAAGATATTTTACCACAATTTAAAAAAATCAGTAACATGATATTCCAAAACCCACAGGCGGGTTGTTTGGTACGTGAATTATAGTGGTGTCCTTGGTGTCCTTGGTGTCCTCAGAGGATTTTCTAGGACCCCCTACAGGTACCAAAATCCAAGAATGTTCACGTCCTGGTATAAAATGGTGTAGGACTTGGATATAACCGATGCACATCCTCCCATATACTTCAAATCGTCTCTAGATGACATATAATACCTAATAAGTGTAAATACTATATAATAGTTGTTATAGTGTGTTTTTTAGGGTATAATGATAAGGAAAAAAGCCTACACGTGTTCAGTCAGACGCTTTTTCCAAATATTTTCCATCTGCTATTGTTTGAATCCACAGATACAGAACCACAGATCTGGAGGGCTGACAGTACATCTTAATAAAGCTGTTTGTTGTTGGGTTTTTTTGAGACCGCTCCTCTCCTCACATTCTCCTACTGGAGAGGTTTTAGAGGATGTCCATCTCCTACGCAGGAGTTGGCAAACTTTTTCTGTAAAGAGTCAGATAGTAAACATTCTAGGCTTTGCCAGCCGTGCTGTGTCTGTGACACATAAGAAGCCGTAGATAGGCAAAGGAAAGACACAGCTATGTTTCAATAAAACTTTATTTATCAAAACAGGTAGCAGGCCGGATCAGGCTGTGGGCTGGAGTTGGCAGACTTGTGATTTACAGAATCACATCAGCAGCTTTCAGCCAGGTGCTCCAGACTGCCCTGGCACACACAGATCCAACTTGCATGCCTCATCTTCCCCCAAACTCTTTTCTAGTACGAACTGTAGATTTCTCTCTTTTCTCCTGCTTTCTGCTCTCAAAGGCTAAAATCATTCCCCCAGCTCTCGCTCATGGCTGCATAGTAATCTCACCACTATCCTGTAGGATTGATTATCCTTGCAAGTCTCAATGCCTTATCTTCTTACACAGTAAAATGAACACTTCTTGTGGGCAAAAATGGAATTTTTTCCCTCCAAAAGTGAATGTTGAATGAGTGAGTGAAGTTGGCCAAAGGGTTCAGAAAAAGTATGCACTTCTGTTTCCTAATAGGATTCTTCATTCATTCATTCATTCATTCAACAAACACCTCCAGAGCAGGATGTTAGGATTGGGGCCAGGTTCCTGCAGTCCACAGTTTTCGAAAGGTGCTTGTGGAAGTTTGGAGGCAGGGAGAGTGTCTGGTGAAGATGTGGGGGTGATGTAAAAAATACATGTAGTTCCTTTTTGTTTGTTTAATTTAACCACTTGGGGAAAAGATCTGTTTAAAAAAACAAAGGGTTGAAATCACTGAAGTAGAAGGATCTAGAAATAAACATGGGCTATCTCTCGCTCTCAGTAGTTTATAAACTAGTTATAATCATGGCCGTCATTTATTTGGCATGTACTGCAGGCAGGCACCAAACTGGCCACATTATCATACTTTTTTGTTGTTATTTGAGACAGAGTCTTACTCTGTCACCCTGGGTAGAATGCCCTGGTATCATAGCTCACAGCAATTTTAAACTCTTGGGCTCAAGAGAACCTCTTCCCTCAGTTCACATGTAGCTGGAACTACAGGCACCCATCACAATGCCTGTATATATATACACACACATATATATATATATTTAGTAGAGATTTATATATATTTAAAAATATATATATTTTTAGTAGATATATATATATATATTTTTTTTTTTTTTTTCTTTTTAGTAGAGATGGTGTCTTGCTCTTGCTCAGGCTGGTCTCGAACTCCTGAGCTCAAACAATCACCTGCCCTGGCCTCCCAGAGTGCTAGGACTATAGGTGTGAGCCACTTTGCCCACATTATCATGTTTTAATCCTTAAATTCTGTGAGCCAGGTAGTATTAACTGAAAAGAGGAGATTGAGGTCTGCAGAGATAAAATGATATATGCAAAGTTCTCAGTATACACATCGCAGAGCAAGAAATCAAACCAGGTCTGGCAATAACAATAAGAATCAATATAGATTCACCACTTATGAGCCTGGGGGCGTTACCTGGGTTATCTCTTCTAATTCCCTCAACAATTCCAAAACTAGCGACTGTTGTATTCTCATTCTGCAGATGAACAAAGAGGCAGGGAGAAGTTAAGTCAAGTCACTAATTTGAACTCAAGCTGGCAACTTGACTCTAGAGCAGCGGTTCTCAACCTGTGGGTCGCAACCCCCGTTGGGGGTTGAATGATCCTTTCACAGGGGTCACCTAAGACCATCCTGCATATCCTATCTTTACATTACAATTCATAACAGTAGCAAAATTACAGTTACGAAGTAGCAACGAAAATAATTTTATGGTTGGGGGTCACCACAACATGAGGAACTGTATTAAACAGTCACGGCATTAGGAAAGGTTGAGAACCACTGCTCTGAGCCTAACAATCTTAACAACTACAGAGGGCGCCAAAAAAAATACATACACACTTTAAGAAAGGAAAATACTGTGTTAAAATTGTAGCAAAAGACCAACACAAGGCATGTTTGACTTCTGCAAATACAAGAGGAACTCAAAGTATATACATAATATACTCTGTAAAATATAGATCACATCTCTTATAATGTGTATACTTTTTTTTGCACTCCTGGTTTAGGCAATGGCTCAAACATTGGGTATGTAGGCCCAGCGCCTGTGGCTCAAGCCGCTAAGGCGCCAGCCATATACACCTGTGCCAAAGGGTTCGAATCCAGCCCTGGCCCGCCAAACAACAATGACAACTGCAACCAAAAAATAGCCAGGCGTTGTGGCAGGTGCCTGTAGTCCCAGCTACTTGGGAGACTGAGGTAAGAGAATTGCTTAAGCCTAAAAGTTAGAGGTTGCTGTGAGCTGTGATGCCACAGCACTCTATCCAGGGTGACAGCTTGAGTACCTGGGTGTAGTGGGAGTGAACAGAGCCGCTGTTGCACCAGGGACAGTGGAGGTTACAGTCCTTCCGGGTAATGATGAGGTCATGCTGCTTCCCAGACCAAGACCTCACCAGATCTACCAGTGAGTGGTACCTGGGTGCGGGAGGACATAAAAGAAGCTGGGTGGGAGAGTGGAAAAGCGACTTGATGGGGACCCTACATAAGTCACCTTCCCTCCCCTTGGTTTTCTCACCTATAAAAAATGGGGATGAGGAATTGGCCCTGAATCAAGGCCAGCAGTTTGCTGAAGCTGTTGGTTGTTGGTTTCAAGCAGGCGCCTGAAGAATTATCTTTCTATGGCCCATTGGCCATTTCAGAACTTTGGAAATGTAAGGGTCAATTCATTAGAAAGAAACAATGTGAGTCATTGGTGATAGATGTGGGCTAGTATGTATTTGTAGTCTTAATACTGGGGTTCCAAAATATCTATAAAATATTATTATATTTATCTCAAGAGGATATTTAAGTTATTTGTTAGAATTATAGTGCTGTTAAATCTTAATTATTGTCCCCCCAAATTACTGTGGGGTTTTACCCAAAATAAGAAGATAATTCTATAGTAAAAAAAAAATGGGAATGAGGATAGTAGCACCTGCCCCACAGGGGTCCCAACAGAAGCCCCACCACGTAAAGTGCTTACCTGAGTCTGGCACATAGTAGGTGCTCAGGAAAACACACTTGCTATTGTCCTGCGAGGGGCCATGTGGGAGGCAAGCCTCTCAGACAGGGTAGCTTGCATTTTTAGGGAAGAAAAAGGTCACTGGACTATGAGGTGGGGAATGCAGCTTTCAAGACATTCTTTTTTAATTTTTAAAATTTACTTATTTATTTATTTTTGAGATAGACTCTCACTCTGTTGCCCTGGGTAGAGTTCTGTGGTGTCATCATAGTTCATAGCAACCTCAGTCTCTTGGGTCCAAGCGATTCTCTTGTCTGAGCCTTGAGAGTAGCTGGGACTACAGGCGTCCACCACAATGCCCAACTATTTTTCTGTTGTTTAGTCTGGGCCGGGTTCAAACCAGCTAGCCCCAGTGTATGTGGCCCTCACCCTAACCACTGAGCTATGGGCACCGAGCCCACCCAGCTATTTTTAGAGATGGAGTCTCACACTTTTCAGGCTGGTCTTGAACTCCTGAGCTCAAGCGATCCTCCTGCCTTGGCCCCTCAGAGTGCGAGGATTACAGGTGTGAGCCACCGTACCCAGTCCAAGATTATTCTTTTGTAAGCACCAAGGGAGGCAAGAAAGGCTTTGTCTTTCTCTACTGCACCCCTTTTATCAAAAACTTTGTTTCGTAAAATTTGGATTCAGCCAAAAGTCCTCACTTAAGGACCTAGAAGGCCACACGTGGCCTTAAATCCACGGGTTTCCCACCCCTCCCCAGAGGCACAAATACACAAAAGAACCAATAAGGGGGAAAATCTTGGAGAATTCACACTCATAATTTACAGCAGCTCGTCTTTATCCCCAGCACCATTTCCTTTCCACTGTGAGCCTCTCAAGTGATGGCCACAGGGTAGGCTGGAGTCTGGCAGGAAGAGTTTAAGGACAGAGGACGGGGGAGATGATTTTGAGGAAAGACTGAATCCCCTGGTGTCTGCTCTGTGGGGCTCTGAGGGACCATTCACCATTCACACATACTGTCGCTGGCCCTGACTAGTGGATATCATGAAAAAATGCAGACAGGACCCTGAGTTTCCATGGAGCTCATTTGAAAGGACTGGCCGAGGGTGGCGCCTGTGGCTCAATGGGTAAGGCGCCAGCCCCATATACTGAAGGTGGAGTGTTCGAACCCAGCCCCTGCCAAACTGCAACAAAAAAATAGCCGGGCATTGTGGCAGGCACCTGTAGTCCCAGCTACTCAGGAGGCTGAGGCAAGAGAATCACCTAAGCCCAGGAGTTGGGAGTTGGAGGTTGCTGTGAGCTGTGACGCTACAGCACTCTACTGAGGGCAATAAAGTGAGACTGTCTCTATTAAAAAAAAAAAAAGAAAAAAGAAAGGATTGGCCATAATTCCACCTTTGCCACTTTTCTGGGGTTACAGCAGAATGGTGAGGAGGGAAGGATAGCTGTTTTTCTAATCTGGCAAAATAAAAATGTGAAAATTGTGTGGCAGTCTCATAAATAACCTTTTGAGATTATACTGGTCTGTGGAATCTACAAGTCTGGAATGAACTGAGCGAGGCCAGGACCTTTGTTTTACAGACAGAGATACCAAGGTTCAGACAGTGAAAATAATTTCCCACGGCCACCCAGATCAGAAGGTCCCAGATTCTGACTCAACAGTTGGAACGGTAGTAAGGAAGTGGGGTTGGAAGAGTGCTTTGCCATTCTCAGGCTTTAGCGGATCACCTTTGGGCCTGATCCACCATCCTCTGCCCCCCAACTCTGCTCCACATGGCTCTGACCCCTCATCCTGCCTCTTGAGACTTCAAACCACTCCTCACTCTCTGAAATGGTCTGTGCAGGTAATTGTTCAGCCAGTTACAGCCTGTCTGTCCTGATAGAAGGTGGGCTCCCTGTAGGTGGGGAGTTTATCTGCCTTGTCCTCCCCTACATCCTACTGCCAAGCTAAACACCTGATACAGAGTAAGCACTCAATGAATGTTTGTTGAATGACTGAGTGAAAGAAGGGCAGAGGAGTTACTCACCAGCCAGAATGGATGGAGGGGTTCTGGCCCACATATCTCATCAGCTGTGAGGGCCCATGGGCCCAGGTGCACTGGGTGGGCCAGGCCTTGGCAGACCTGGCTAGCTGCTCATCCCGGACCTGGAGGAAGAATGGCCGTGAAATGCCCCAGAAGATTAACCACCATCATCACAACAGTGTCTTGGAGCCGTTTCTCCCATATCTCCTAGGAACCCTACAATAAACCCACTTGACGAATTAGAAAACTAATGCTCAGAGAAGGCTTATGACTTCAAGATCATCCTCAAGTCCACATCAGAGCCAAGATCTATTCCCTGGTCTCTTCCTGTGAGTCTGGTGCCCTTTTTTGCTGACTAGACTTCAATCTCAGGGGCTCTCTGTCCCTGAGCATTTATCCAGGAATTCTCAGCAGTCCCTGGAAGTGACTGAACCCAAGGTGATGGGAAAATAGCTGATTTTAAATTTGTATTTATAGTATTTTCCAAATGTGAGTATTTTAACATTAAAATTTTTTAATTCAAATGCTTTCTTTTTTTTTCTTTTAGAGACAGGATCTTATTCTGTTATGCAGCCTGGAGTGCAGTGGTGCAATCATAGCTCATTGCAGCCTCCAACTCCTTGCACTCAAGTAATCTTCCTGCCTCAGCCTCCCTGGGTAGCAAAAGCTTTCTTTAATAGTGACAACATGCACAGATTTAATGTATAAGATACTCAAGCAGGAAAGATGAAAAGTCTGTAATCTCTTACTCTTATCCCTCTAGCCACCCTTCCCGTTTCCCCAGAGGTAATCACCACTGTTTCTTATATTCTCTTCCAGAAATATTCTATACCTATATAAGCATTTATAGACACGTGTATGCACGTGTGTGTATGTGTGTGTGTAATCTGACAAGTGACAGCATTCTATTCGGCACCTTGCTTGTTGTTTAGCAGGCCCAGCAAGCTTGAACCTGCCTGCCTTGGTGTACGTGGCTGGCAGCCTACTCACTGAGCTACGGGTGCTGAGCCTGAATTACCCAAGTTTTAGAAACTAAAAAAGTGTTGCTTAATAAAATACTATTTCCTTCCAGCTCTGACTTTCTGGAATCCTCTGAGATATTATTTGTTTATTCAGCAAAGGCTGAATAATATTTTTCTTTTTTTGAGACAGAAATATAAATATTTTTCTTTTTTTGTCACCCTCATGGAGTGCCGTGGAGTTATTGCTCACAGCAACCTCAAACTCCTGACCTTGAACGATTCTCTTGCCACAGCCTCCTGAGTAGCTGGGACTGTGGGCACCCGTCGCAATGCTCAGCGATTTTTAGAGATGGGGTCTCACTCTTGCTCAGGCAACCCACTCATGAGCTCAAGCAACCCACCTGCCTCAGCCTCCCAGAGTGCTAGGATTACAGGCACAAGCCATCACGCCTGGCCGCTGAACAATATTTCTAGGCATTGAGAACTCATGGTCTAACAAGGAAAGGAGACACCAAACGAGTCATCAGTTGTTATGATGCCAGTGGGTGTGACAATGGGAAATGGGACCCAAACTTTCTAGGGACTGTGGGAGAAACGGCTTCTGGAGTGACAGACGTTTAGTCAAACACCTGTTCTGTGGGCAGAAGTCAATGAAGAAAAAATGAGGATTCCAAAACGGGGGTCAGACCCCCATGTTACCAAGGGGTAACCTGAGGGAAGGAGCTGAACATCAGGCCCTCCCCAGAGTCCCTGGTGAGACATCGGGCTCCATCTGCTTCCATGCTGCATTAAACACCTGTTAGGGTAGGTGCCCTGCACGCCCAAGTGGTGCTCAATAAATGTGCCATTTACTTGAAAAATGGAGGGTGTTCTAGGCGCCAGTCCTGTGCTAATGAATGAATGAGTCAATGAACAAATAAGTGACCCCACCTCTACCTGCCTGCCATCCCCGCTCCTTATGTCCCTGTCCAATGTCTCATTACCTCTTGACAATGTATCATGTATATTTCACTCCCACTAGTGTCAGTTCCTTGAGGGAAAGGTCTTGTCTGTCATCTTCGGTGGTATCCACAAGGCTGAGCCCGGGACTGGCTCCGTGTGTCAGTCAACAGACATGGCACAGATGTAGGAGACTGTTCAGGCTGCTGAGCCCCATGTATTTGTCTTTGGGGGCAGGCCTGGCAAGCTCCCTAAAGAAGTCTGTGGGTGGGCTGGAAGCCCAGGTCTGTTTGGGACGCTGGTCCTGGAAGGGGTCACAGTAAGGTGGAGGGTTCCCTCCTCCACTGCAGAGTCTGGCTTTGGGGGAGGGGGACCGAGTGATGCCACCAGCCCTGCCCCTTTGAGAGACGACATCCCACTTCCACGGCTCAGCTGCTGCTTTTCTTCAGCCTGAGTTCCCGGTGCCTGTCCCCACTGCTCCAAACTCCACAGACTCCCCGAGAATGCTCTGGGTGTGTCAGTCACACCCCTGGGGCAAAGACACAGTAGGAGCCAGCCACTGTTCCCCTCCTCCCCTGCAGGAAGCTGAAATTCTTGGGCAGTGTTTATGCCGCTTAAGATCGAGATCTTAGCAGTAGGCAGACACGGGCTGGAATCCTGGTTGGGTGACTTTGGACAGGTTAATTCTCTGAGTCTCAGCTTCTTCATTTGGAAAATGACCTTCACCTTTAAGGAAGAGGCGTACACTCATGGTTACGTGCAGTGCTCCCTGACTACTCACTGGGAGATCTGTGCAATCTCCTAGTCTCCTCATATGTAACAGGGGCAGACTAATTCCTGCCCTTTCCACGGGTCCCAGACACCCAGATTCTGACAAGTGGGTCTAGGCTAGCAAATGGTCCAGCTCTTCAGTGCCAGCGACCAGCCAAGGTGAGTCAGCTGGCGTTTGCTAGAAGGCTCCCTAGGGAGGGTGTTGGAACTCACCATGTACTCCAAGTTGGTGGCAGGTGGGTACATGCTGGCCCGGACGTGGTTGTGATGATCCAATAAGGCACTCATGTCCCGGGCAGAGATGTGGCGTTTCTGGTGGTACCGGGGCACCCCCAGGCCACGCAGGGGCCGCCCAACTGTGTTCTCAGGCCGGGTCAGGGTGAGGGAAGCATAGGGCATCTTCAAGGCATTCACTGTTTGGACTGCCCAGAAGAGCAGGCCTGCCAGGCCCACGGTGCTGGGCAGCAGGGGCATAACTGGCTGGAGGGGTCACACATCCGCCTCCTGCAATCAGAGCCGACTGCCTGGAAGGGGCAGGCACGAACAAACCCTGAGTGTTCCCCAGCACCGCCAGCCCAGAGGATGCCACTCCCCGGTCGCCTGGCAAAGACATCCTGTGCAGCTCTGGCCCTGATGCCCTGCACCCTCCCTTCCCACTCCAATGGACTGAGCATGGTGGGCAATGGGAAGAAATGCCCAGACGGTGGCTAACCCAGACCAGGCCTGGGGTGCAATAGTGTCACCACTTCAATGCTGGGGCTCTGTCCAGCATTGGACAGCCATCCTCTCCAGCCCACAGATCCTCTTCATCAATCCCACTTGTGGGGGGCTCAGGTGATGCCCTCAGAGGGAAGAGCCAGCCTGCCCCTGAGGCATACTGCAGGGCCCTCTCAGCCCTGAGAGTGAGACGGAGAGAACGGGATGGCAGAGAATGAAAGAGGCAGAGAAAAAATGGAGACCAGAAAGGCGATGGGGAAAAAAGAGATACAGGGAAAAGGAGTGAAGAGAAATGGAAAGAGAAGAAAAAAGGAAAGAAAGGCACATACACATTTATTGGGGGGACAGAAGAGAATGTGGGAGACATAAATAAATAGAGGGAGAGAGAGGCAGCGACAAAGGGGAAAAAAGAACAGAGAAGAAGGAGAGAGAAAGTCGGAGAAAGACAAGCGAGACAGAGAGGCACCGGAGAGCAGGCAGCAGGCTCCCCAGGGCCATATACCCAGGACGGGCAGCCAGGCAGGGGCAGCCAAGCAGACTAGGGATTTCTGCAGATACCCTAGCCCGCCTGGCAGCACAGCAACTTTAATGGTCCCCTGGGAGCTGATCGCATCTGACATCCCCACAGCCCCTTCCCCTTCCAGCCAGGCCAGGCTTAGACCTGGAGGCCCCACTTACAGCTTTGAGGGCTTTGCTTCCACCCCTCTCATCTCCGCTGCTCCTGCTCCCACCTGGAGTGTCCAGGACCGGTCGGTGTAGGAATGTGGCAACAGGGCAGGGATTCCAGGAAAAAATTCTCATCCCCCTCAGGAGACCCCAGACCCAGAGGCTTCCCTGTACCTACCTCATCCAGCCTCAGGTTAGGCAATTACTATAGCCCTGTCTGATGAGCACCTACTATGTGCTAGGTCCAGGGCTGAGTGCTTTACCTACAAGCTCAGCTAGTCTTCAGAAGCAGGTGGGATAGCTGCCCATTTTAGAGATGAAGAAATTGAATCCCAGAGAGGCAAAGGAACAAACCCAAAGAAAAGCCAACCAGTCTGCAACAGAGCTGGGATTCAAATCCAAGTCTGACGGTTAGTGTGCAAAATGACGCCATTTTGGGGGGGGTGGTTTTGGCCAGGGCTGGGTTTGAACCTGCCACCTCCAGCATATGGGGCCAGTGCCCTACTCCTTTGAGCCACAGGCACCACCCCAAAATGAAGCCATTTTTCTAGCCAAACCAAATACAGCTGCATAGGGGAAAACGTGTAGAGGGCTATTCATTACGCTGCCACTAAAACATAGCACCAGGCAGCATAATCAATCAGGCCCATGGATCTGGGTAAAACCCCCGTTACTCCACTCCCTTATGACCTCGGTGTTGGGCAAGATACTAAATCATTTTGTGCTTCATCTGCCAAGTGGGAGAAGCAGTGGTGCCTCCCTCATAGCACGGCCATGAGGATGGAGTAAGTTACCGTTTATGGAGCACTTAGAACACTAGCTGGGGTATAGTGTGTGCTCTCTAAGTGTGTGTGTTTGTGTGCACATACGTACCTGTATGTGTGTAGGTATGCACTTGTGTATGTGTGTGTGCATGTGTGTATGAGTGTCTGTGTGCCACACATGTGTGCGTGCCCAGGTGCATGTGTGAGAGTGCAGGTGGCTGGACATGTGTGTATAGGTGCTGGTAAAGCCACATTGGTGTCTGTGTTGCTGAACTTCTGGGTTAAGGCAGAGTTCGATTTTCTCATCCAAGTCTGTAATTCTAGCACTCTGGGAGGCGGAGGCAGGCAAATTGTCAGCTCAGGAGTTTGAGACCAGCCTGAGCAAGACCCCATCTCTGAAAATAGTTGGGTGTTGTGCTGGGCACCTGTAGTCCCAGCTACTTGGGAGGCTGAGGCAAGAGGATCACTTGAGCCCAAGACTTGGAGATTGCTGTGAGCTATGATGACATCACAGCACTCTATCCAGGGGATCTAGGGTGACAGACTGAGACTCTGGGGCAAGACTCAAAAGAAAGAAAGAAAGGAAGGAAGGAATGAAAGAGAGAGAAAGACTTCGATTTTCTCCTCTTTATTACTTATATTCCCCACAAATAATAAGAATCACTTTTGTCATAGGAGAGGGTAAACTTACAACAAGAAAGGTGTCACATACGAAAACACAAGTCGCAGCATTTGCAGTCCACAGATGCCTCTTCTAACCACCTCTGAGGATCCCCGGGCTGCACCAGGGCCCCAGTGGCTGGCCCATCCCGGGCAGATGCTGACGCTTGTGGAATTCCTGCTCCAGGCAGCCGCCCAGCCCTGACCCCAGCAGCCTAGACAGTGCAGACTGCCAGATCATGCACCTTCCTTCAGGAGCCGCTGCTGGCCACTAGCAGAAGGCAGGGAGGGCAGAGCTGGGAGCAGCGGCAGCAGCAGTTCCCGCAGGGCTTTCCCACTACACCGGGAGGACAAGAAAGACCAGCTCAGGGTAGCTCCATCTCTGCCCCTGGTATGCCGGGTGTCCTGAGGCAAATCTCTAGACTTCTCTGGGCTTTGAACACTCCACTAGAGACGCTCAGCACAGCAGGGTGAGCTCTGCAGCTCGGGGGAGGCAGACACCAACAGCCTTAGCACTTAGGAGCCTGGGAGTGGGAAGTTATGCCCAGCTCTCTCCAAACCACTTGCATGGATGATTTCATTTAATCTTCAGAATGACACTATTATTATCACCAAATTCATTTGTATATACATGAAGAAACTGAGGCACGAAGAAGTGAGTCATTGGCCTGGGGATCACACATCCAGTGGGTAGCAGAAATGGCTTGTACATCCCACACTGCCTCTCCACGGAGACAGACACTGGGGGAGGCTCCACAGCCCAGCTACCCAGACCATCTCCTACCTGACCATCTCCTACCTGACATGTCCGCACATCCACAGAAACCTGGAAAATCAGTGAGTAGCAAATACACAGCAATGCTCCTGGCCGCTCCACCTGGTGGGACCTTCTCTGCTGCCCTCATCAAGGAGGCTGTTCCCAATTTGACTTTGGCAGGTTTGCACGGATAAAAATGTTAACGGATGGGGGCAGGAAATGATCAGGGATGGCTCAAGTTAAAGCCCTGGGCATCTTTTCACCTAGGCTAAGAACATCTTTCGCATCCTGGTGGGGGGATTTTACCCCCAGATTGCCCCATCCTCCATCCTCACCCCCACTGGAATTTTCTCTGGGTTTGGGGAAGTGGAGGAGACATTCCCCAGAGGGTGGTCGGATTTGAGGCAGAGTCGTGGATAATACTGCAGACTCTGGCTTCTGGGTTCATGGCTTGCTAGTCGCGTGGTTGTCAGAAAGTTTCTTAAACTTTTTATTTATTTTTGCAGTTTAGGACTGGGGCCGGGTTTGAACCCACTACCCTGGTATATGGGGCCGGTGCCCTACTCCTTTGAGCTACAGGCACTGCCCAGTCTCTTAAACTTTATATGCCTCAGTCCCCTCATCTATAAAATGAGGCAACCTCATGGCGTGGTTGTGGGAATTAAATGAATTAGTACATCTTACGACACTTGAAACAATGAGCAAGTAGTCGATAAAGCAGTCAGTAAATAATAATAAATAATAATAACAACAAGCAACACTTACACAGCACAGATTAGATCCCAGGCACTAAATGCTTTAGGTACATGACCTCATGTAAGCCTCATCCCAGCTTCAGGGGTTGGGTATCAAGATCCCCATTCTAGGTTTGGTGCCTGGGGCTCAAGTGGCTAAGTCACCAGCCACATACACCTAAGGTGGTGTGTTCAAATCCAGCCTGGGCCCACCAAATAACAATGATGGCTGCAACCAAACAATAGCCAGGCATTGTGGTGGGCGCCTGTGGTCCCAGCTACTTGGGAGACAGAGGCAGGAGACTCACTTGAGCCCAAGAGTTGGAGGTTGCTATGAGCTGTGATGCCACAGCACTCTATCCAGGGGAATAGCTTGAGGCTCCATCTCAAAAAAAAAAAAATAGTTCCCCATTCTATGGGCGGGTGTTGTGGTGGACACCTGTAGTCCCAGCTACTCGGGAGGCTGAGGCAGGAGAATCACTTGGGCCCAGGAGTTTAAGGTTGCTGTGAGCTGTGACACCACAGCACTCTACTGAGGGCAACATAGTGAGACTCTGCCTAAAAAAAAAAAAAAAATCCCCATTCTATAGATGAGGAAGTGGACACTCAGAGAGGCTAAGTAATCTGCCCAAGTTCACACAGCTAGTTCCAGTGGAAACTGGATTCCAAGGCAAGGTCTCTCTGACTCTTACCCCAGTGATCTTCTTGCCCAGTGAAGTTGTTTTGAGAAGAAACTATGGGTCAGGAACCTAGTGTTTGAGAGAGGTTACTATAGGTCACCTTCCCATTTGCCAGTTGAGGAAAAATGTTCAGAGAGGTTCAGTGACTAGTCCAAGGTCACACAGGAACTGGTAGACTCAGGATTGCAATTCAGATCTATGTTACTTCAAATTCATGCAGGGGGAATAGAGAGGGAGCTCCAGAGAGGGATATGTGTGGACAATACCAGTGAGGACCCAGGATGTGCTCAAAGCTTCACATCAAATACCCCAGGTTTTCCAAAAGATAAACTAAGGAAACAAAGGGATTCAAGGGTAATCACTGGACTTGAAAGCCACATACTTGGATTATAAAACTATAATTAAACACAAGGAAGTGCTATCAAAGTCAGGCTGTGACTGGGGTGGGGCTTTTGCAAGGCTTCAATTTCTTGGTCTGGCTGGCTGGTAGTTCTAG